CTTAAAAGCTTGCAAGTGGCCATCTAAGATGCATCAACTGGTCCCAACCACCTGGAGTAAAGGAGAATGAAGAACATCAAAGACACAAGGAAAGTAGTAGCCCAAGAGACAGAAAAGGCCACATAAACCAGAGACTTCATCAGCCTGAGACCAGAAGAACTAGATGGTGCCGGGCTACCATCAATGACTGCCCAGACAGGGAACACAACAGAGAGTCCTGGATGGAGCAGGAGAAAGGTGGGGTACAGAACTCAAATTCTAGGAGGAAGACCAGATTTAATGGTCTGACTGAGACTGGAGGTACTGTGGAAATCATTGCACCTGGATTCTCTACCAGGCCAGAATTAAAACAATTTCCAAGGCCAACTCTTCAGACAGGGATTGGACTGGACTGTGGGACATAAAGTGATACTCGTGAGGAGAGTGCCTCTTAGCTCAAGTAGATACAAGAGACTAAACGGGCAGCTTCTGTCCAGAGGTGGGATGGGAAGGCAGAGAGGGTTAGGAGCTGGTTAAATGAACATGGGGAGTCAGGGGTGGAAAGGAGGAGTACGCTGTCACAGTATGGGGAGAACAATTAGAGTCACATAACAATGTATGTATAAATTTTTGTACAGAAAAAGATTTTAAAAAAACTTTGAGAATAAAAAACAACAGTGAGATATATAAACAGAATATGTATTCTAATATATAATTACATATTGCTATTGCAATATATAGATTCTAAATATACAGTTAATATTATATATGCTATATAATGTATGTTATATACAAGTATATTATATGTGATATGTAATGTGTGCTATTTATATTAATTATATATTAGATTATATACTCCAACTCTAGCCATTAAGTTGGAGCCCAGGTGGTGTAGTGGTTAAGAGTTCGGCTGCTAACCAAAAGGTAAGCACTTCAAATCCACCAGTCACTCCTTGGAAACCCTATGGGACAGTTCTACTCCATCCTATAGAGTCACTATGAGTCGAAACCAACTTGACAGCATCTAACAACAATAAGCCATTAAGTGAGAATAACAATTAGAACCAAATATGTCAAAATTTTTTCAAAAAAAATTCTACATTATTTTGTAACCATATTTAAAAGTTACTAAAACATTTAAAAGTTCTATGGTTAAGTCAGACATCCATTCAATATGTACTGCTCCCACTTGGAGCCTGGTCCCAAAGCAGCCCCCACAGGAGAGGCTGCCTATTGAGGCTGTGAGAAAAGGACAGGCACCTCTTTCTGTTCGCTGCCAGCACAGTGAAGAGAGGGGCTCTGCTGGGACTTCCACTCGTCATCGGCCTGCAAAGGGGTCTTCCTCCTCCCATCTTCTGAGAGAGGTCTGGAGGGGACGGCCATGGCAGCAGTAAAGGCAGTGCCCTCCAAGTCACCCATCAGCTTCTCATCTTCTACACTCAAGCTGCCCCTGGCCTCTTTCAGCTGCATGTTCTGAATAAAGAGCCGACAAGCTTCCAAGTCAGCTTCCCACACTTTTTCAAGCAGTGGGTTCTTGCAGCTAAGACAAAGAGAGGGAAAACAAATGCACAGAAATTAATTCACTGATGTTTCATCATACCAAGTCAATACTTTGTTAAATGTTACAAACAATTTCATAATTAACAACTTAATTTCATATGGTGATGAATTATTTCAGCCAGAAGAGTCAGAGGGGACAAATTTGTGTACCATCAAGTAACAGTGAAGTAAGTGTTTGATCCTTCTTAACAACCTGGTCTGCAGGACCACCCAAGATCCTGTACACTTCTCCAGACTCAGTGGTTCCCATATAACTCCCCCTCCCCATGTCTGTGCTCCAGCTGAGGGGGCTTTCTTTGAGTCCCCAAACATGCCCAACTCTCTCCAACTTTACACGTGCTGTTTTCTCAGCCTAAACATTCCTCCTCTGTGACCCTATCGCCCTCCCTGACCTCCACACACTCCTAAGCCTTTATCTGTCTGAATTCTATTATCTTCAGATCTCAGCTTAAGTATCCTTTCCTTGGGAGGAACCTTCCCTGACTCCCAGCTAGAAATTTATAACAGGTTTCTCAGCACCCTGTATTTTTCCTTCAGAGTATTTATCACAATAATAATTATTATTATCTTATGTAATTATTGTTTTTTTCTCTGAGAGAAGGCTTCTGTCTATCTTGTTCTCCATTCTATGGATAGAATCTATCAACATGGCTCATGAGCTCAAATGCAGGTAATATAAATGAATGAAGCAGAACAGAGTTGATCTAAATCATAACAGCTGATATCCAGCCTCATGGTAGAAGACAACAGAGAGGAGTAGACTCTGGCTAGTCATCCCTCCACAGGGAGCACTTCCTTAGCTCAGACCAACTAAAGCTATGAAGAATATGGTCTCAGGTTGACAAAAGTTCTGATTTTTCAGGGAAAGCCAAGAATCTGGGATTTTAAATGAAAATTTATATTTTTTTAAATCCATCCGTTCAGTTTAAGGCTGGATATTTTCTACACGCCTATTTTTCATTTAATAATCCTTTCTTCTACTATGTATAATCTGCTGTTCAATCCATCTATTGAGTTCTATATGTCAGCTACTTTATTTTTCAGTTCCAGCATTTATATTTGATTCTCTTTTATATATTCCAGTTCTCTGCTGAAATTCTCCATCACGGCTTTTACTTTCTTGGACATATCAATCATAGTTATTTTAAAGCCCATGTCTATAAATGATGGATACAGAAGGAAAGATAAAAAATAAGGAAAAAGTAATATTAAATGAGTTATTAGCCAAGAATTTTTAAATACTAACAAGGGACATCAAATACACATTTAGGATGCTCTACAGTCATAATGAGTCGGAATCAACTTGATGGCATTGGGTTTTTTTGGGTTTTTTTTTATAATTCCCAAAAAAGAAAAGTCAGAGAAAAAAAAACCCATGTAAGCACATTATAGTAAAACTGATAAACACCAAAGACAGAACAAAATTTTAAAAGCAGCCAGAAAGAAAAACTGCATTAACTTCCAAAGGAGCAACAATATGGGCAACAGAAATTGTGGAAGAGAGGAGACAATAAAATGACATTTTACAAATATTGAAAGGAAATAACTTCCAATCTAGAATTATATAATCATATTGAATTTTCTTCAAAAATAAAAGTAAAATAAAGACATTTTTCAGATAAATAAGACCTGAGAGAATTCATGGCAGCACATCCACAGTAAAGGAAATGATCCCAGATGCAAGCACAGGCATTCATAAAGGAATGAAGAGCAATGGAAAGAGTAACTATGTAGGTAAATCTAAGTAATATTGATTGTACAAAACAACAAAATAATTTCTTTTGGGGTCTAAAAGATACATAGAATTAAAAAGCATCAATTACAATATTCTCAGATCTTTGCATTGTCTAGTAAATTGTAAAAGTGGTCATTTACAAAGTCATTTAAAAAGTCAAGGATTCATATTAAATCGTCTATGAGTTTTAACCTGGAAGTTAAAAATATGTATAACCAAAAATACTGACATGGGGGAAAGTAAGAAATTTAAAAAATTATAAGTACTTCATTGTTTAAGCATTGCTTTACTGAAAGCAATAAAGGAGACAAGAATGAACACGGCACAGATGGGACAAATAGTAAGATAGGAAGATGTATATCCAAACATATCAGTAATTACATTAAATATAACTAGATAAACCCTGAAATTAAAAGGTGAATGTTTTTTACACTGAAATAAAAAGTCAAAACTCAAATATATGTTACTTATAAGAGACATACATTAAATATAAGGATACAAATGAACTGCAAGTAAAAGGATGGGAAAAATATACCATAAAAGCATTATTAGAGGAAAAAAATGTAGTGGGGAAAGGGCAATTTTTTCAACATATTGTACTATGTCAATCAGATATCACTATAGGAGAAAGAAAACAAATTGTGATTACTGACTCACACCATATCAACATCAATTTCAGGTAGACTGCAGATCAAAGGGCAGTGAAAGTAAAGGGCAGGGAAAGGTAAAACAGGACAGTGATGGACAGTAAAAGGTAAAACATAAAAAATAAAGCATAAAACATAAATAAAACGTCTAAAAAAAGCATAGGATAATATTTTTATGATTTCGTGGTAGGCAAAAATCTTTTAAACAGGGTACAAAATGTACTAATAAATAAAACAGATGATAAATTATACTTCATTAAAATTAAGAACTTATGTTCATCAAAAGAAAAATATTTTCCTTATGAGTTCGTATTTCCTTAAGAATATTAACTATTTTGGCCAGTGATTCTTTAGTCTTCCTCAGTTGTAATTACCTATCCCTCGGGGGAGCCCTGGTGGCGCAGTGGTTAAGAGCTCAGCTGCTAACCAAAAGTTGGCAGTCCGAATCCACCAGCCACTCCTTCGAAACTCTATGGGGCAGTTCTACTCTGTCCTATAGGGTCACTATGAGTCGGAATCGACTCGATGGCAACAGGTTTGGTATTTTTATCCCCCAGGGAGCGGTGAGGGCTGGGGGATGCTCAAGATCCAGGCCACCTATTTTATGTTTTCCTCATGGCAGTGCTCCTCTGCTGTTAGATTTATACTCCTGACCTCAAGGCTTACACTGGCTGGCAGGTGTTTGTTTCTCAGAACCAAAGGGTCGGGCACTGGCCTTCCCAGGCAATGTGGGAGGAGAAAAGGGGATGCCTGCAAAACTCTCCTCTGCTTTATTGTCTGTTTCTTCGCCACATGGGGACCAATCACCTCCAGTTGTCTCGGGGTTTCTCAGCTATTTTATTTTTAATTTAACAGATCTGTCAACATCTCTCTGGATTCTGTGGTGTGTAAGGGGCTGAATATAGGGCAAAGAGCCAGCATCCCAGCTCTCACAACTTTCCTAAGGAAGAAAAAGTTACTTCTGTAAACAATTTTCTACAGTACAATGATTTGGATACTGTAACATGGTGCCTATTTGCTATTTGAGAAATATGGTATGTATAGCCTTTGAGTGAAAGTGGGGTTAGTCCAGAAATGTATCTGTCAAAGCTTGGAAGTTAATTTTAGGAATTCATGCTGAATTGTAAGTAAATTGTAAAGTAAACTTGCAGTGTTTCATTATGACCCATGTAACAATTTCATCAAGCTTTAGCTTTTAAAAATATCTACTTATTACATCTGTTTATGCTAAAGAGCATAGTGGTTGATTTCAAATTCTTCAGATGCTTTGCTCTTCATGCACAGGAGAGTAGTGAGGTCATTAGTAATAAATCCCTTTCACAAATGAGTCACAGCTCCTTGAGCTATGTGGGATCTTTGGTGATGTTTTCACAGCCAGTAATGAATGAAACAGCTTCTAGCTTTAACTTCAGTGTTTGGGGAAAATATCTTGAGTAGAGTATTGAGATTCACCAACGAAATATGAGTTCATATTTCCTTAGGAATATTAACTGTTTGGGCTGGCTATCCTTTGGCGAAGGGGATGAAAAGGCTCTAAGTTGTGCCTCTCTGTCTTAGTCATCTAGTGCTGCCATAACAGAAATACCACAAGTGGATGGTTTTAATGAAGAGAAGTTTATTTCCTCACAGTCAAAGTAGGCTAAAAGTCCAAATTCAGGGCTTCACCTCCAGGGGAAGTCTTTCTCTCTGTCGGCTTCTCATCAAAGTTCCCCCGAACTAGGAGCTTCTCGGCGCAGGGACCCCGGTCCAAAGGACACACTCTGCTCCTGGCACTGCTTTCTTGATGGTATGAGGTCCGCTGTCTCACCACTCCCTTCTGTCTTTTATATCTCAAGAGATTGCCTCAGGACACAATCCAGTCTCGTAGATCAGGTCCTGCCTTACTAACACAACTGCCACCCATCCTCCCTCATTAACATCATAGAGGCAGGTTTACAACATACAGGAAAATCACACAGTACCAGGAATCATGGCCTAGCCAAATTGATACACACATTTTTGGGGGGACATAATTCAAACCATGACACTCTCCTAACGAGTTCAGGTGGTGGGAGTGTGGGGTACCATCTAAAGTATAATGGGATAATCTGTATTTCTGTACTTGAAGAAATATAGTCTTCCTCAGTTGTAATTACCTATCCCTTGGGGAGCTGGGAGGGCTGGGGGATGCTCAGGATCCAGGTCACCTATTTTATATCCTCCCCATGGCAGTGCTTTTCTGATGTTAGATCTAACATGCTGGTTTGAAGTAAATGAGCTCTCTGAGGTCATCTGACTGTGACTTGAATCATCACGGGGTTGAGGTATGTATATGTTTTATATGGGGAGTGGTGGCGAAAGAGAGGGTAGGCAGGAGGTTTGTAGGCAAACTTCTATCTATTTAAGCAATGGAAATACTGAGTTCTCACACAGATCCTGTAGTTTCAGCTCTCATCACCAAGCTCTCTTTCCTGACTTATTAATATTGTTCTTTAAAGGGCATTAGTATTTTATCTCTTTCTTTGGAAACTTGGAAGATAACTAGATCTTTTTATGGAACCATGGTGGAGTAAAATATCACACCAATATGTGAATTCGAATGGTACTAAACTTTCACCT